AGTATTTGTGTCAAAACTGTCTGTTCTTGTCCATCTCCACACTATTGTAGTCCAAGTCTCCTTAATCTCATCTCTTTCCTGAGTTTATTATAACAGCATCCTAACTGGTCTGCCAGTTCTTTTAATCCACTCTCTGTAATGCACATTGTATGCATATGTGTGTGTAATGTTAATCAGATCATAGCTTTTTGTTGTGCTTAATAGATCCTATTGCATTTATAGTTCAAACTCCATGTAATTGCACAAACTGCATAATCTGGTGACTGAATGCCTGCCTCTTCATTCTCAACATATACCATTTTCTGCCCTGTCTCCTAGGCTGCAACCACACTAGCATTTTAACAGCAGTACCTAGAACTAATTTTATAAGCATTCACTGCTTTTTTTTTATTTTGGCCTGGCTGGCTCTGTGTAGTAGATTGAATGGTCTCTCCCCCAACCCCCACCCCTACCAAGATATGTGACATCTCAGAATGTGACTTTATTTGGAATAAAGTGTTAGTAAATGTAATTAAGGTAGGGATCTCAAGGTGAGAGCATCTTTGATTAGGATGGCCTCTGAATCCTGTGATGAGTATCCTTACTAGACACAGAAAAGACAAACACAGGGAAGAAAGCTATGTGAAGATGGGTGGCAGAGTTAGGCTGTCACAAGCTAAAAAAAATCAAGAGCCACCAAATACAGAAGAGGCAAAGAAGGATCCTTTCTGAGATCCTTGGAAGGGAGCATGGTACTGCTGACACTGTGATTTCAGACTTCTGGCCTCCAAAACTATGAGAAAATAAATTTCTCTTGTTTTAAGCCATCAATTTGTTATAATTTGGTGTGGAAACCCAAGGAAACTAATACACCCTATCTCGCCACTGCACTCCAGCCTTGGCAACAGAGTGAGATACTGTCTTTTTTTAAAAAATAAAATAAAAAGGAAGAGTTGGAAAAAATGGAAGTTGAAAAACTTCATTAAGTTAAAATGTGATTAAAACATTTTAAAATTTACCTAAAATGTTCTTCAGTCAGACCATTGTGTTTTACTTTAGATTAGATATTCTAGATTTTTATTTTTAATAACAAGAATTCTGTTAATATTTTGTTATTAATACTGCTATGAATGTACAAACAGATGCTTTCCATTGGTTTTAGGGGTTTAGTATATGGGATAATGGATTGTGTATTACAATTTATATAAAGGCCCATTTTTACTATTATAGTTACAAGGCTATACCTAACTAATTGTCAGGGAAAGGTGATATCTAAGACTTAAGGTTGACTGAAGAGCGAGAGAAAGGGTGATATGGCAGTGGGATGGAGTATGAGTTAATAAGAAAGAAAGATGTGAATATCTATCTATATCATCCATTCAATATGCAAAGATAAAGAATGTGAGTATCTCCCTACATCGTCTGTTCGATATGCAGTTGTATTCTTAAAGAAACTTTGAATTACCAAAAGACACATTACTACACCTATTAATTTGATAGGGATAAAAAAGGTTAATGACAAAAGATTATCAATTTCAATTTTCCTATGACAGTGTCTGTAATAAGGAAGTTTTAATAGCTACTTAGAGTGTAAATGGTATATAAATGTAAACAGTCTTTGTAAAGTAGTGGTTAAAACTTGGGTCAGCTAGTCAGTGAATCAGTAGAAATGCTTTTAGCTCCAACTAACAGAAGTTTCTATTACAGTGGATTAAACAAATAGGTTTTTTGGTTTTTGTTTCCTACATAAGAAAACTAGAGAAGATTGAGTTTCTAATTTACAGAAAATAAACATTGGGACTGGAGTATAGTCCGCAAAATCCAGACTATGGGCAAGTTTTAAGGACAACCCAGTTTCTTCAGCAAAAAATTTAAAGGGGGAAAATGCAGTTGAGAGACACCAATGAATTAAAACTTAAGAGATATACTAAATAATCATAATTCATGAACTTTATTTGGACTTGAAACTAGAAAAATCTTTTTTTTTTATTAGACAGTTGTGGATTTGTGAACACTGACAGGATTTTTGATGTCATTATATTAAGGAGCTACTGTTATTTTTTTTTCTGGTATATAACAGTATCATGAATATTTTTTAAGTCTGTATCTTGTGGAGAAACTTAGTGAAATATGTACATCTAATATATCTGGAATTTATACAGATTAAAGTGGCTGTGAATGAAAAAATAAAACTGGAAATAGGAGGCTGCTGATGAGAGTTGAGTGGCTCACTCAGTTGTTGTCTTTAAGACAACAATTTGATTGTTGTCTTTGAGATTCTCTTGGTCATTTCATGGTTGCACAGTGATTGTTGCAGTTGTAAGGGTTCATATAACAGAGGCAGAAGAAGAGGTAGCATTTGTTTCAGAAAGCAAAACTTAACCCATTACAAACTTCCGCTTGCATCTCATTGACCTCTGTCATATGTCCACCCGTGCCTGGAAGGTGGCTAGGAAGAACCGGGCTAGGAATGGAAGTTGGGTCAGCCAGCCAACAGTGCAAGCCAGAGGCAGATGACGGATTTTTTTTTTTTTTATCTCAAACTCTGTCATGTATTAGCTGTGTAATTATATTTCTTCATCTGTAAAATTAGGATAGAGAGTAAGTAGTGTAATGCATGTATAAGTCTGAGCAATGTGCCAAATGAGAAGTTAGTGCTCACAAAATATTAGCATTATTATCATTGCCGTTCTTATCACCACCAGCTTAATTCTTTTTTTACTGAGGTAAAATTCACACATAATATAAAGTCAGCTATTTTAAAGTGTATAATTCGATGACATTTAGTGCATTTACAGAATTGAGCAACTATCACCTCCATCTAGTTCCAAAATATTTTCATCATCCACAAAGAAACTTCATACCTAGTAAGGAGTATCTCCTTTTCGATCTCAACCCAGCTTTTGACAACCACTAATCTGCTTCATACCTCTATGCATTTACTTGTTCTGGGTGAGTCAGATACCTTTTATATCTGACTACTTTCAGTTAATATGTTTTTGAGGTTAATCCAGGTTGTAGTGTGTTTGGGTATGCATTCCTTCTTATGGCGGAATACTACATTGCATGGAAATACTGTAGTTTGGCCATTCATCAGTTGACGGACATTTGGGTTGCTTCCACCTTTTGGCTATTGTGAATAGTACTTCTGTGAACATTCATGTACAACTGTTTGTGCGAATACCTTTTTGTCACTTCGTCTGGGTTTATACCTAGGAGCAGAAGTTCTTGGTCATGTAGTAATTCTATGGTTAACTTTTTGAGGCACTGCCAAATGATTTCCAACAGTATGTGTACCATTTTACATTCCTGCCAGCAATGCATGACAGTTCCAGTTGCCTTACTTCTTTGTCAACACTTGTTTTGCATTTTTAAATTATTATTATTATTGCCATGCTAGTGAATGTGATGCAGTATTTTGTGGTTTTGTTTACATTTTCCTTGTGACTTTTAATGTTAATCATCTTTTCATGTGTCTCTTGGCCATTTGTTTACTTTCTTTGGAGAAAGGTCTATTCAGGTCCTTTGTCTGTTTTTAAATTGGATTGTTTGTCATTTTGTTGTTAAATTGGTAAGGGTTTAAAAAAAATATATACATATATATATGTATATATATAAACATATATATATATGTTTAAATATATACATATATATATGTATATATGTATTCCAGATACCAGACTTTTAACAGATAAATGATTTGCAAATATTTTCTCCCATTCTATTTTTTTCACTTTCTTGATGGTGTCCTTTGATACTAAAGTTTTAGTTTTGACGAAATCCAATTTTATTTTATTTTATTTGTACTTTTGCTATCATATCTAAGAATCCATTGCCAAATCTAAAGTAATGAAGATTTGCCCTAATTTTTTGTCTGAGTTATTTAAAGTTTTAGCTCTTACATTTAGATCTTCAATCCTTTTTTCCCCCCGAGACAGTCTTGCTCTGTCACCCAAGCTGGAGGTTAGTGGCGCAATCTTGCTCACTGTAACCTCTGCCTTTGGGGTTCAAGCAATTCTCCTGCCTCAGCCTTCTGAGTAGCTGGGATTACAGGTGCCCACCAACACACTCGGCTAATTTTTGTATTTTTAGTAGAGATGGGATTTCACCATGTTGGCCCGGTTGGTCTCAAACTTCTGACCTCGGTGATCTGCCCGCCTCGGCTTCCCAAAGTGCTGGGATTGCAGATGTGAGCCACTGCGCCTGGCCAGGTCGTCTTCAATCTTAAAAGATTGGTGTTGGATCAGTTTTGATCTATCTTGAATTAATTTTTGTGTGTGATAAGAGGCAGGACCAGCAGGTTTTTTCTTACCATCTTTATCATCCATTAACATGAAGTATGACGTCTCTCCAACAAAACATCTGAGTTGTTTTTCTGAATAGCTTTTCCAGCATGTGTTCAAGCAGTGGTAATTTACTTAATTTTTATAATCGAGAACAGTCTGCATAATATAAATTGTTCTCTATATAACTGATCCATTTTATCTAATATGTGGTAGGGAAACAAGTTACATTAGACATATCTAGAGTAGATTGGGGTTTTAAATTCATAAACTTGGCAGGGTTGATTAGTAAATCTTTGTTTGCTTCTAGATCTAAACATTTTAGAGCTGGTTTCAAGCACTGATTTAGTTATTGAAGTAGAGTCCATAGGAATATGTAATTGTTATTTTTATATTGTAATCTTGTTTTATTTGGTTTTGCATAGTCTGGTTATATCTTTTATTGAATACCATTCCTTGATTAGAATTTATCTCACTAGTTTTTTTTTTCCCCCTTCACCTACAGTGTTGGGGATAATGTAGTTTCTGGGATGTACTGGAGTGAAAGTGGTTATGGTGGGATAATCTTTATAAGGCTGTTATGTACTATTATATAGCTTTTTTTTTTTTTTTTAAATCTAGTAAAGGATGGACAAAGATGGACCTTATACAGCCTTCTGTTAACTGGCAATAGTTTTTAAATTGTTTAAATTTGTTTTAAACAGAAGAGGATATAATTTGGTTGTTTCTTTTTTTTAGTACTTGATTCTAAAGCTGGAAAGGCCTGCTATAGTTCAGAATATCACATTTGGAAAATATGAGAAAACTCATGTTTGCAATTTGAAAAAATTTAAAGTCTTTGGTGGAATGAATGAAGAAAATATGACAGAGCTGTTGTCCAGGTGAGTTATGGTTATGGGTAAGAAAGTTGTCTTCTAAACAAAACGTAGCCTTAGTTTAGTCTCTTTGTAGCTAATCTGCATGGTTTGGTTTTTCTTTCAGAGGAGAAATGAGTATTCCTTCCGTTCTATTCCTAATGCCTTAGTTTAATACTGTGGCTTGAGTTAGCTTTCCCTTTTTTTTTTTTTTTAAAACACCAGACCAGACCCAAGTTAAGATTTTTACCAAAGAAAATTAACTTTTTTTTTGTTTCCTCCTTTTTGAGCTGTTAATGACTTCATAAATATTTTCAGCTTTAATAAAATTTTTTGTTACAATCTTTGCTATAAAAAAAATACAGGCTTTATCCAAAACACTAAGATTAATTGCCCTGTTCCAGAAGCAGTATTGTAGTGGTTTACTATAAGTTGGAGACTAAAAAGAGAAATCTTTCATAAATTGAAAGACGCATGACTACACCAAGCACAGTGCCTGTCACTGGGAAGGAGCTCAGTAAATTTGAGTTTTAATAATATTAGACCACCGGGAATGAAGATGTTAATTTGCCACGCAGCAAATGAAAGATCAGATAGCTAATGGAATGGATAAATGAAACCATGGAGATTCAGAATATATTTGTGATGGCTGGGTGCAGTGGCTCATGCCTGTAATCCCAGCACTTTGGGAGGCCAAGGCAGGTGGATCACAAGGTCAGGAGTTCAAGACCAGCCTGACCAATGTAGGGAAACCCTGTGTCTACTAAGAATACAAAAATTAGCTGGACATGGTGGGGGGCGCCTGTAGTCCCAGCTACTTGGGAGGCTGAGGTGGGTGGCTGAGGCAGGAGAATCACTTGAACCTGGAGGTGGAGGTTGTGGTAAGCCGAGATTGTGCTGCTGCACTCCAGCCTGGGTGACACAAGGAGACTTTGTCTAAAAAAATACACACACACACACACACACACACACACACACACACACACACACATATTTATATTTGTAACATGGTATGGCCCGTTAACATAATATTTTATATAAGCAAATATTCCATACCGTATTTGATATAAGTCACGAAAGTATTTCAGGAAATAAAAAGCAACCTGATGGTAAGTGACTTTCTCATAGATCCTTGTGTCAGTCCTAGTTGTTTAAATAGAGGGGTGATATGAGTTTATTTTTATTCAGTATAAAGCAGATGCTATTAAACCAACAGAGTAAGCTTGGCTTTGAAAATTTTTCAACTATAAAGGAAACATTGACATCTCAGTCGGAATTAAATAACGAAATGCTTTGGCAAATTCTAATAGTTGATTTTGTTTAAGTTGTCAGATTTGAGTGTGAATTGGTTTTGAATTTCCTTCTTACCATTTGAAAATTTTATGCTATATTCAGTTATCCATTCAGAGCACTAGGCCCTGTCACACATTTCCGTACACTGTAGCTACATTCTTTATAATACTGAACATTTTTTATTAATCCTCATATAATTGAGAGAATCCATTAATAAAACTGTTGATTTGAATGTACCAGTTTTGACCTATATGCCTGTGTTCAACTACTCATTTATATTGTCTTGGTCATATATTTTGAGTATTGGATTAAACTTAAAACAAAGTATGACATTAATTTGTGTTCTAGTGCATTTTCTAAATTATGAAGTCAGATTTAATAGCCTTATTTTTTTCCCACAGTGGCTTAAAGAATGATTATAACAAAGAAACATTCACCTTGAAGCATAAAATCGATGAACAGATGTTTCCTTGTCGATTCATTAAAATAGGTAAGGTTTTAGCATTCTGGAATAGAAACAAATTCTTGATATCATCATTCAGCAAACTGTATAGCCCATAGACCAAATCCTGCAGGCCTCTTGTTTTTTAAATAAAATTTTATGGGAACATTGCAGCACTGGTTTGTTTACATAATGTCTGTGTCTCCTTTTGTGCTGCAGGAGTAGACTTGAATTACAAGAGACCACATAGCCCATAGAGCCCCCTAAATTTACTCTTTGGCCTTTTACAGAAGTGCGCTGACTTCTGCTTTATATAAATCCATTACGAAGTGGCAGTTATTTCAAGTGGAAATCTTTTCCAAATGTTTTCCCATTTGAAAGTTTTCTTAGATTTTTATGGGATCTAGTGATTTGATTGCCTTAATTTTATGGAAAGTTTATCACTTACGCTAAAACAATAATATTCTAAAACCAAATACTGATGAAATCCTTAAGGTAGTATATGATGGTTATAATCTGTTATGTTCTTTTGTATTTCTTTTTTTTTTTTTTGCTGGTCAAACCCATTAAATTGATTGCATGACCCATCAATAGGTTGCAAATCACTGTTTCAAAAATCATACCTTAAGGCATGTATTTATTTAGCAAGTATTTTAGCTTAAGAAAGTATAATGCAGCTTTGCACGGTGGCAGTATCGTAGCCAATGAGGTTTATCCGAGGTGCAATTATTGCTAATTGAAAACTTTTCCCAATACCCCTCCGTGACGACTTGCAATATAGTTGGCATTGGCAATTTTTGACAGTCTCTATAGAGACTGATTTAAAAAAAAAAAGTATAATGCATTCTCAAAAGTCATATTTTTCACGTGATTTCATTTCCTTTAGGATTTATTGGCCAGGCGCTGTGGCTCACGCCTGTAATCCCAGCACTTTGGGAGGCTGAGATGGGTAGATCACCTGAGGTCAGGAGTTCGAGACCAGCCTGGCCAACATGGTGACACCTCATCTCTATAAAAAAAAACAAAATAAAACAAAACCAAAAAAAAAGGATTTATTATTTAGAAGGTAGGAAAGTTGAAGACTTAAATTTTATAATTTATAACTATGGTGCATACTTTTCAAAATATATTAAAGTAGGAATTAAAGTGAGTTAGATACCTTAAAGAATAATAATAAAAGCAAGATTTCATATTTTGATTTGGGAGAATAATTACTCTTTTTGAACAAACATAGTCATTGTTTGCCAATCTATCAAGAGTTGCAACTAAACAGTGGGACTCAAATAGTTCGTTGGGCAAAAGAATATTTGAGGTCTTAAGAAGGACTGCGTATATATAGAAACTGTTTTTGGAACAATTGGATTCCAATATGTCACTTTGTTTTGTAGTGATTATAATTTCTGTTGTTATAATAAATAGTTTAAATAAAAACCTATATTCTGTTTTCTTATAAGAATTTATGAGCAAGCAAATTTTAAAAATAAATTTAACTTTCAGTTATTTCTTCTTTTGTGCTGAGTACTGTTTTCATCAATACTTAGACTTAGCAGTTCCTAAAAACCTTTTTTTTTTTTTTCGAGTATGTGGATATGTGCACTTAAAAATTTTCCCCAGCTTTATTAAGGTATAATAGACATATAATTATATATATTTATGGTTTACAACATGATGTTTTGACATATGAGTACATGGTGAAATTATTAAATAAAGCTAATTAACATACCCCTCACCTCACATACTTGCTATATTTTTGTGATGAGAACATTTAAGATCCACTCTCTGAGCAATTTTTAGTTATTATTACTATAGTCACCGTGCTGTACAGTAGATCTCCAGAACTTATTCTTCCTGTTTAACTGAAACTTTTTACCCTTTTACCAACAGCCACCAATTTCTCCCATCAGCCTTTTAATTATAGGGTATAATGATGTCTTTTACTTGACCTAGGTTTAGTTTTATGGTATTTAGGGAAAATTTCAGTTGGAGTTTTCTAAATAATAGTAGACACTTGTTAGCTCATTTTCTATCTAGGATATTAATATTTAGATGACTAAGCATGTCTTACTTTTCTCTTAAAAGATGTTAATACCAGTCAGCAGTGCGTTTGCTTTCCAAACCTTCCCAGCATTCTCTTAAGAACTTTTTTTTTTTTAAGTAATACAAGGAAAATAATGGAACTAAAAGGACATATATTAGATCAGTATTTTTAGTTTGTCATATTTTCTTCAAAAGTTATTCCAGTAAAGGACTTGAATGATGTATTGCTTTCTTTTAGTGGTAATTTAGCAGAGATGTTTATTTGGTTGGGGTAAATTGTTAGAATTTGTCTTAAAAGAAAAAAAAAAGTCTTTGAGTACTTCACATCTGTGTCCTATCGTGACATGTTTGATAGATCTTGCTTTATTTAAAAATCAAGTTAATGCATAAATGTCACAGTTTCTAAATTTAGTCAGCCTTCAATTCATAGTAATGGAGAGGAACAGAAGCAAGGCTAACACAATGGCAGATAATCTCCAAATTGTTTATTGACATGTAACTATAATAATTTTCATTTAAAATGAATATATCTTATTCATTAAGTTTTGCTTAATGCAAATTGTAGTAAGTTTGGTCATAAATTGTTAACAAGGAAAATAGCCCACATTTCTACTGTGTGGCAGGGGTTAAGTTTTAAGATCTGTTGTGGATAATTCAGAGTACCAGCAAAGCTGAACTGATATCATTGGACTGCCTTCCTTCAGGTAAATTTTACTTTCCTTTCTTAAGTTACCTTTTGTGTAAAATGAGGATGTTAATGCTATGTTGGATATTTTCCTGAGTTCTGTTCTAGTTTGCGGACCTGTGGTTTTAATTTAGGAGTACATTTATGGAAGAAATTATTTCATTTTGGTTATCTGTTTTTTACATTTTTATACTTATGTTTATAAAGCTTGTGTTTACATGCCTTCTTACATGTAGTGTTTTAGGGACTTTGATGGGACTTAGTGTAGAAGGAGAGTTGGCTTTAGAAAGAAACTTGGTTTTAGGTAACACGTAGAGGTAAAAGGAAAATTTCGTTACAGAGGTGAGTTATTAATTGGGAGACTGGATTCCAGAGGGCAAGTTAAAGGTTTGGGAAGGGAAACCTCAGCAGGAGACCAGATCAGAGGAAAGTAAACATAAAGTAGAATGGGATGAGGGTATTGGTTACAGATGGCTCAAAGGGTTTACGTTCTGATTCATAGCCACAATAAGGCTGTATGAGGAAATCAGTAGGGGTAGGTGAGGGCAAAAGGAGGTAACAGGGTCTTGGAAAGATTCAGGAGAGGTCTTTGTTTTTGGTAAATGGAGAGATGTGGATTTTTGTAAAGGAGTTAGCTGCAGCCTGGAGATTGTGGGGACTTCAGAGAGCAGCTTTAGCTCTGGCTGGATGCAGTGTGCATTCTGAGCATGAAGCCTGGGTATTAAGTCCAGGGAGCCCTTTAGGAGAGCATGTGGGAAAGTGACATTTTAAAGTATACTATTAAGAGGAAAATTAATATAGTAATAATAGATAATAACAGTTAACATTTATTGAACACTTAGTATGTGCCAGTTACTGTGCTAAGTATACTTAATGTCATTAAATCTGTAGTAGAATAGTAGATGTAGTCTTTCAGAATAATCTTGAATTTTTAGGATCTCTCAGAACCTTTTTTTTTTTTTTTTTTTTTTTAAAGAATCAAGGTCTTGCTCAGTTGCTCAGGTGGCACAGTCATAGCTCACTGCAACCTCCAGTTCCTGGGCAAAGATTATCTTCGTGCCTCAGCCTCCATAGTAGCTAGGAGTACAATTCACATCACCACATCTGGCTAATTTTAAAAACAATTTTTTGTAGAAACTGAGTATTGCTGTCTTGTCCAGGCTGGCCATTTTAGGAAAGAGATGACACATAGGGATGTTGATTATTTTCATGTCTGATTGTCTTGTGGAGAAAACTGGTGGTGGAATCCTAGAATACAAACTGCTAGCCTTGGGATATGTATTAGGAGCTTCTAATTCTTTTATTTGAGGAGGGAGCCATCTTTTATCAGGGAACAAAGAACATATGCCTGGGGGCTTTAACTCACTTTTAGATTTCTTCTATATAGTATGTCTAATATGCATTATTAGTGTTGTTAATGCTACCAGAAATCATTGGAATTTGAAGTGAGTGTAGATAATTCTGCTCATTTTTTACATACCCTTTTAGTCTGTTGAAAATTAATTATATTGTTTATTCATCTGTAATATATGATGCCCTTTGGTGAGATGACTTCATAATTTACCTCCTTCCTCTACAGGAATTCTTTAAAGGTATTAAAAATTGTAACCAGTTTTATTCTAGAAATATTTTTATTGGACCATTGGGTAGCAAAATAAATTTCACTGCAAATGTTTAAAAGGTTTTTGTTTTGTTTTTTAAGAGACAGGGTCTTACTCTCTCTCTCAGGCTAGAATTTAGTAGTCCGATCAAACTCACTGTAACATTGAACTCCTGGACTCAAGTGATCCTTCTGTCTAGCCTCCCAATTAGCCAGACTATAGGCACATACTATCATGTCCAGCTAATTTTTAATTTTTTTGTAGAGATAGGGTCTCACTGTGTTGCCAGGCTCGTCTTGAATTCCTGGGCTCAAGTGATTATCTTGCTTCAGATTCCCAAAGTGTTGGGATTACAGACACAAGCCACTGTACCAGGACCAATAAATAAATTCTTAGTGAGACTTGGACCTGGAAATCTCTAATATTTTATGTCTGGTTACACATATAGACTATATTCTTGGTGCTTTTTGAGTTTAGAATCATATTTTAGTTTGTTTGACTCTTATACTACTTGATGATTATTACTTTATGATTTAGTAAACTTTTAAATGATGCTGCTACATAAATAAACACTAAAACAATAATGATCATTTAATACTTGTTATTAAAAAAACTTTTTGAAATGTGTGTTGTTTACATACATAAACTGAAAGGCATATTAAATATCCCAGGAGTCCTTTGTACATGCTCGTGGCTGGTTGCTACTGCCTGTGTTTTTATTCACACAGCTTCCTTTAGATCAATAGTCCCCAATCTTTTTGTCACCAGTGACCAGTTTTGTGGAAGGCAGTTTTTTCTGTGGACCCCGAAGTGGGGGCAGGGTGTGGCAGAGAGATGGTTTTGGGATGAAACTTTTCCATCTCAGATATCAAGGATTAGATTCTCATAAGGAGTGTGCAGCCTAGATCCCTTCGATGCGCAGTTCACAGTAGCATTTCTGCTCCTTTGAGAATCTAATGCCAACACTGATCTGACAGGAAGCAGAGCTCAGGCGATAATGCTCCTTCACCCACCGCTCACCTCCTGCCGTGCAGCCTGATTCCTAACAAGCCATGGACTGCTACAGGTTTGGGTATGGGGATTTGGGACCCCTGTTATAGATGACAAAAAAAGTATCAGACCCAATATATCTTCTTTATTCAGTCGGATATTGGAAATCATTAAGGCTGGTATCAGCTATTGTGGATATTCTGTTTTGATGCTTCATCAAAACTGTACAAATCTTAGTTTCTTAAAGATAGTTGCATTATTGATTGTGAAACTCTATCAGTGAATCTATTGTTACATTAAAATTCATTGGTCTATCTTGGACTTTTACCCAGGTGTGATTTTGCAACATTCATTGATCATTTAGAAAAAGTGATTCACTGAATTATACAGATCTCCCAAATGTTGAAACACTTTGTTATATAATTTAAAAATCACATTTATTGATATTACATCCAATTTCATTTTTTAAAAATCTAAGTGTTGGGAATCAGTTAAGCTCACAGTGGTGGGTACCTATCTTCCAAAATTCTAATTTTCCTCCTGAAAGCTTGATTTTTATCCTTGACAGCAAATATCGTTAATTGTTTTCCTTGAAATGACATGTAAATATTTGGCAAATATGCAAATCTAAATAATCATAGCTTATCATCTGTTTTTCTTTCAAGAATAAAATGGCATCTCATGAAAAATAGGTTGTTTTTTAAACTCACAACTTAAATAATTGTACAATTCCCTTCCTTGAGATAACCACTATGCATTGGTACACCACAAAAAATGCTTCACATGGAATTCTCATTTTGTCACAAAGGATATTGGAAAGATATGTACTTAATGATGGGAGTTTAATAAAATTAAGTTTTTCTCTGCCTTCAGTAAAAATCAATTCTCTCTCTCTTTTTTTAAATTCTGCCAGTGTTTGGTGGTGAGGAGTACGGTGCAATTTGTACTTACTCAGCACTACTAGTACTTTTTGGTGCCATTAGTTAGGTACCAAGGTGCTAATAGTTTTACTTACCATTGCTTTTGTACTGTTAGTGCAATGTTGGTATTATTAAAAGGCTAGAAAAACGTTTATTATGTTATGAAAAATAGTTATTTTGAAAAATAACTAGTGTCTTTATTTTTAAAATATAGTTTTGACTACATGGGACCTCCAGAAAGAATATATACCATTGGGATTTTGATTGACATGATGTAAAATTTATAATTAATTGGAGAAAACTACATGTTTACAACATTGAGTTTTCCTATATACGAACATAGTATGTTCTTTCATTTATTCAATTATTCACTAAAATTTTATATTTTCTTCTAAATTTTGCATATTTTGTTTATTCTGAGACATTTTCAGCTTTTTTTTCCTTTATAAATAGGATTTTTTTAGTTATATTTTCTAATTGGTTATTTTAGGTATAGGAAGAGTTGATTTTTGTGTGTTTACCTTGTTTACAAACTTAAAAAAAATTTTTTTTCAATTGAATCTCTTTTTTTTTTTTTTTTTTTTTTATACAGAGTCTAACTCTGTCAACCACGCACCAGGATGGAGTGCAGTGATGCGATCTCTGTTCACTGCAACCTCTGCCTCCCGGGTTCAAGCAATTCTGCCTCAACCTCCCGAGTAGCTGGGACTATGGGCGCGTGCCACCACACTCAGCTAATTTTTGTATTTTTTAGTAGAGACAGGGTTTCACCATGTTGGCCTAGATGGTCTTGATCTCTTGACCTTGTGATCCACCCACCTCAGCCTCCCAAAGTGCTGGGATTACAGGTGTGAGCCACCACACCCGGCCTGAATCTCTTTTTTTTTTTTTTTTCCTTTGAGACAGTCTTATTCTGTTGCCCAGGCTAGAGTGCAGTGGCATGATCGCGGCTCACTGCAACCTCTGCCTCCTGGGTTCAAGCAATTCTCTTGCCACAGCCTTCTGAGTAGCTGGGATTACAGGCATGCACTACCATCCCTGACAAATTTTTTCTATTTTTAGTAGAGACGGAGTTTCACTTTATTGGCCAGGCCGGTTTTGAATTCCTGGCCTCAAGTGATCCTCCTGCCTTGGTCTCTCAAAATGCTGGGATTACAGGCATGAGCTACTGCTCCCGGCCCTCTTGAATTTTTTTAGATAGGTCATTTTTAAATTACAATCTGCTTTTCTTGTTTGTTTGGTTTTTTTCTTATTGCACTGCCTGAGACCTCTAATTGATGTCAAATAGTAGAGATATTGGACCTATTTGTCTTGTTCTGACTTGAGTGGGAATACTTAGCATTTTTCCATTAGGTTTAATTTTTAAGGTTTTTGATGCTTTTTAAAAAATCTAGGTAAGGAGATTTCCTATTGCCTTATATTGCTTATATATTGAGGAGTTAAAAAAATATTAAAATCATCAAATGTGTTTTTTCATTTATTTTGTTAAGGTGGTAAATTACATTAATATAGCTTCTATTATTTCTTGAACCACCATTTTTCCATTCCTGGAATGAGATCTGTTTGATTACAGTGAAAATCCGATTGAACTTTTTGCAACTTTTCCAAAACCCTTTAATTTGTGATTAAATATGTATTAATAGCTGAGATTGGCCTTAAGTCTTTTTTCTTCTTCACTGGATTTAGGGTTATGCCACTGATAAATAATTGAACTTTCGGTCTCTTTCAGTGTTCTGGTGTAGGCTAAATTCTAAAGTAATTTTTTGCTGCTTGTATGTTTGGTAAAATTTACCTGTTAAATCATCTAATTCTGGTGGCATTTATTTGGGGGTAGACATAGGAACATTTCGAATTTATCTTACAGTGTTTTTATTAACTAAGGAAATCTTATGTTGGCATGGGTCATCTGTTTCGTTTTACTATTTTAGCCTTAGCACCATGCTAGTTATGTAAAAGATGCCCAGAAAATGTATTCAATGAATCCTTATAAGGTTGAATAGTGATTTTACTTTGCTGAAGTTTTATTTGAACTGTGTTAATATTTTTCTTCTTCTTTTTGTTTTTTTCTTCTTAAAGTTCCACTCTTGTCCTGGGGACCCAGCTTTAACTTTAGCATCTGGTATGTTGAACTTAGTGGCATTGATGATCCTGATGTAGTACAACCCTGTCTCAACTGGTATAGCAAGGTAGGACTGTATTTTAAATACTGACTTTAATGCCTATAAAAGGAAAGTGGTGTCAATCTTGTCTTCATTGAGAATAATTAAAAATATTTAAAATAATAATAAGCTAACATTTAATTAAGCACTTCCAGTCTGCCAGCTTTTAAGCAATCCTTGTCACTCATTTAGTCATTATCACTCTATGAGACAGGTACAGTGATTATCCTCATTAGTTTATAGATGAAGAAATGAAGCACAGAGAGATTAAATAGTTTGCCTAGGGTCACACAGTTGTAAAATGTATGAGCCAATATGAACTCAGGCAATTGGACTCCACAGTCTGCTTTTATATTATTATTTCCATTTGACTCTGAATTCTGTTTTTCTGCTTGTACTGATATAAATACTTAAAACATAGTTTTTGGTGGGATAGTTTTGCACCCTAATGGAAAATTTAAGATGTAGATGTGATTTAAACTCCTAAAGTAATCAACAGGGTTAAAAGATATTGCTGTTTAATATAACTATAGTATATGTTGTTACATAGTAGTTATGTAGATAAATCTTTTTTAGAAGCCAAGAGTAAGAAACTATTCATGTAAAAATAGCTATAGAATCACTGATGTGTGTTTCAATTCTTATACATCTTCCTAAGCTCATTACTTTATTTGCTTGCCTTATTAAAGGGTAATAATGCTTATAAATAAATCATTGTTGTTTGATTATCATGTAGGTTTCCATGTCATCTATTTGTTTGTATAGTGGTATACTTAGGATTTTTGAGGTAATCCAAGAACATATTCTTGAAGTTGAGATTTTTTTAAAAAACCCTTTTTATAAGATTGTATTTTTGGCATCTATCCTATTAGGGGAAAATTTTAATAAATTAAGTGCCTACCTTTTGGATTCCAGTTAATTGAGATGTTGTCTAATTTATAGCTGCTTAATAGATAAGGTAGTTCAGGTTTAGAAAACAGTTAAATTGGGCTGGGCGCAATGGCTCATGCCTGTAATCCCAGCACTTTGGGAGGCCTCAGCAGGTGGATCATGAGGTCAGGAGTTCTAGACTATTCCGACCAACATGGTAAAACCCCTTGTCTACTAAAAATACAAAAATAAGCTGGGCGTGTTAAGGCGTGCCTGTAACCTCAGCTACTCAGGAGGCTGAGGCAGAAGAATTGCTTGAACCCCAGAGGTAGGTGGAGGTTGCAGTGAGCTGACATTGCGCCACTGCGCTCCAGCCTGGGAGACAGAGCAAGACCCTGTCTCAAAACAAAACAAAACAAAACAAAACAAAAACCCCAAAGAAAATGATTAAATTTAGTCTCTTTTTGATGATTTTTGAGTCATAATACCTGTTTGTAAATTTGAAATACCCGTATACTTGGTAATACTTGTCATTCAAGTAATAGCTTTTTTAAAAAAAACCAAAAGTAGAAAGCATAATATAATTTATGTGGATTATTTAATTTTTTTGTACTCTTCAGTACCTACATTGTAATGGGATTAATAGATGCTATAGGAGTTATAATTTTTACAATCTTTAGTGGAGTTTAAAAAATAGATATTCGGCTTCTTTTCTTCAGAGTTGAGGCTCTGGAATTGGGTTTGGTATAATCACTTTTGGCTACATACTTTGTGACCTTGGGCAAGTTATTGCAACAGGCCAAGCTTTAGTTTTGCTCATTAAACGAGCCAAATAATGATACCTAATGAATCAGGTTAGTACACTGCTTGGCACATAGTATTAATAAATGCTCAATGTAGATTAGTTATTTTTACTGCTGTTATTATTTCCTACAGTATCCTCTAACCAAATCTCTTCTTTCCATACTTACTCTTGTGTTCTAGTAGTACCGTGAACAGGAAGCTATTCGCCTTTGCCTAAAACACTTTAGACAACACAACTATACAGAAGCTTTTGAGTCACTACAAAAGAAAACCAAGATTGCCCTGGAACATCCCATGTTAACAGATATTCATGACAAGCTGGTGTTGAAGGGCGATTTTGATGCTTGCGAAGAGTTGATTGAAAAAGCTGTAAATGGTATGAAACTTAGATTGGTTATTAGGTTAATTTCAAGTACATACAGGAAACTGTTTCTCAAAAAGAATGTAGGCTTATGCCAGTTATTACTCTAATTTTTTTCTTTTTTTTTTTTTTTTTACTCAGTTAAAGATTGTTAGCTCTTTGGATTAGGGACTTCTTTCATGTAAGATAGATCCATAATGTAATGAGACTAAAAAAATGAAATGTAGTTGAACTCACATATAAATTTAAGTTGTCATCTTGGGAAACCATGCACTTACAAGTGATAACATTAACTAGCATTAAATCATATTAGAAATACTATTTTGATATTGATAGCCAATATTCATTAACAGTGTAACTTTGAGAAGGGGGCTAGATAATTAAAAATGTTATCACTAAACAATTATATATAATGAACAAAGAGATATGTATTGAAAACAACTTCCTTATGGTGTAAATGCCATATAATTGCCAGTTTTCTTGTGTGACTTGTAATCTGGAAATGTGAATATTTGAATATGTATATTAATCTCCTAGGGTAGTAGCTTTGGAGGGTAACATTTGAATATTTAAGATCTGGTGTGTTTTGTTATTTAAAATAAAAAAGGGCCTCTGTTGCTTATAGTATGACTTTTTTTTTTTTTTTAATCTTCACAGTAACTTTCATAGTGACAGAACAGAATAGTTGCACAATATAAAACTTGAGGAATTGAATTTGGTGCATCTTTTATAGGAAGAAATAAGAAATAATAGATTTTTCAGTGGTTTGCTTTCATTATTTTCATTTTATCACTGTTATCATCATCTATTTTTAGGTACTCATATTTATCAGATATTGGGTAACTTAAAACCAGACCCATACTGCCTTCTTTGAGTTAAAGTTAACTTAAAATGAATTGCTTTGAGCTCCACTTTTTAAAATATGCCATATCTGCTTCTCAACCTTGTACAGTGTTATTGCTTACTTGATTGATGATGATAATTGCAAATAAGTGATTGGTATGTTTGAAATTGAGTATTATTTTGGAGTATAAACAAATAAAACACATATGGTAACTAATCTCTTACCAAACCTTTAAAATGCTACCAGTAAAAGTATATATGTACGTATGCCATTTCTAGGAGTGAATTTGCATTTTTTTTTTAACTTCATAGGATGAGGGAGGAATAGGTAATTTTAGGGCTTTTTTGTTTTGTTTCAAGTATTTATCATTAAGGCCTTTGATATTAAGGGAAAGCGAAACAACAGCCACAGGCAACTCTATACAATTAATACACTAAAAACAGTTATGTTTTAAACCTCTCTTTAGTGATGTACTCAGTTGGTTAAGATTAGCTGATAAAATCTTGTGCAGCTTTGATATCTACAGAGACTTAATTTATCCTTTGGCTCTAGAAAGGAACCAAGTTTAGAGAAATTGGTAGTTGCTTCTTGAAACTTACAGCTACATCATAGTTTTTGTACTATTAATACTAGGGGCTCTCCTAAACTGGCCTGGAACCCTGTTAGTTAATAAACATTCGTTTCAGCGTTGTTCAGTTTGCTTCTGACCATATTGATGATGATTTGTTGGACAAATAAGGAAGTAAACAGTGCAGAGTTTTTTGGCTTCTACTCTGCTAAAAACATAGCAGAGAAGGACAAGAAGTTCCTTCCTGCTAAATAGGAAGATCGAGGGAATCAAAAGAATCTCCTTCAAGCTTCTTATAATGGAGGATACAAAAACTACTTTTAGTATTTTTAGTATATTACTTAATAGGATCTTTAAGTATTGTCTGTACTTTAAGAAAGTGTAAGGCTGTATTTATTTCTCTAATAGACTTTTTATTTGTCTAGAAACATCACTGTATTTACATTTCATTTTATTAGAGGTGATTTTGGAACCAATAATTGCAGCTTCCACTTTGACATTGCAAGATCCAGCGATAATGGGCAAAAGTAATCACCTAGGGACAGGAAAGTTGTACTCAAACGTGTAGAGATTGTACTAAAAACCTTCCTTTGCTGAGCTTATTTTATTTGCTATAGAAAGAAAAATTTTCTTTTGTGAGATAAGGGAAGGATAAAGTTTAATAAGGTCGTCGTAAAGTTTCAACTTGAAATCTCTACCTTTGTCCCTCTGTCTTTCTCGAAATGCTCCTTTCTTTTTCTATTATCTCGTTTTAAAAAAAATCTCTCCACTCTCCTCTATTGGATTGTGTAGGGTTGTAGGCATATCTTGGAGATGTTGCAGGTTTGGTTCCAGACCACTTCAATGAAGTGAATGACACAGTAAAGCAAGTTACACAATTTTTTTTGCTTTCCCTGTGCGTATAAAAGTTACTTCTCTAGTCTACTGTAGTCTGTTAAGGTACAATAACATTATTTCTTTTTTAAAAAATGGACATACCTTAACTTTAAAATGCTTTACTATCTGAGGCTTCAGTGAGTTATAATCTGTTTGCTAGTGAAGGGTCTTGCCCTAGTGTTGATGGCTGCTGGCTGATAAGGATGGTGATTGCTGAAGGTTGGTGTGATTGTGGCAGTTTCTTAAAATAAGACAATGAAGTTTGATGCATCAGTGGGCTCTTCCTTTCACATGAGAAGCAATTTCTCATCCATTCAAGTTTTATCATGAGATTGTAGTAGTTCAGTCACAGCTTCAGGCTCTACTTCTAATTCTAGTTCTCTTGCTATGTCTACCATACCTGCAGTTACTACTACTTCTGAAGTCTTTAACCCTCCACATCATCCATGAGGGTTGGAATCAACTTCTTCCCAACTCTTGTTAATGTTGATGTTTTGATCTCTTCCCAAGAATCACGAATGTTCTTAATGGCATCTAGAATGGTGAATCCTTTCCAAAGGTTTTAAATTTACTTTGCCCAGATCCATCAGAGGAAACACTATCTATAGCAACTATAGCCTTACAATTTTCTTGAAAGTCTAAATGACTCCTTGATCCATAGGCTGCAAAATTAATATGTGTTAGCAGGCATGAAAACATTAATCTCCCTGTATTTTTCCATCAGAGCTCTTGGTTGACTAGGTACATTGTCAGTGAGCAGTAATATTTTGAAAGAAATCTTTTTATTTTTCTGAGCAGTAGGTCTCAACAGGGGGCATAAAATTTTCATTAAACCATTCTGTACACAGATGTACTATCATCTAGGCTTTGTTACTCCACTTGTAGTGCACAGGCAGAGTAGATTCAGCTTAATTCTTAAGGGCCCTAGGATTTTTCAGAATGGTAAATTAACATTGACTTCCACTTAAAGTTACCAGCTGCATTAGCTGCTTACAAGGGAGTCACACTATCTTTTGAAGCTTTGAAGCCAGGCATTGACTTCTCTATAGCTATGAAAGTTCTAGATGGCACCTTCTTCCAATAGAAGTCTATTGAACTGTTTTGTCTACATTGAAAATCTGTTTAGTGTAGTTGCCTTTATAATCTTAGCTAGATTTTCTAGATACTAATAACTTGCTGCAGCTTCTATAATACATCAGCACTTGTGGCTTCACTTTGTGCTTTTATGTTATAGAGATGGCTTCTTTTTTTAAACTTCGTGAACCAACCTCTGCTAGCTTCCAACTTTTCTTTTGCAGTTTTCTGATTTCTCTCTGCTTTCATACACTTGAAGAGATTTAAGGCCATGGCTTGGATTAGGTTTTGGCTTAAGGGAGTGTTGTGACTGATTATCCAGACCACTCTGTCTCCATATTAACAATGTCTGTTCTGCTTTCTTATCAGTCATGGGTTCACTTATAATTTCCTGTAAGAACTTTTCCTTCTCATTTACAGCTTGGTCAACTTCAGTGCAAGAGGTCAACTTTCAGCCTGTCTTGGCCTTTGATATGCCTTCCTCCCTAAGTTTAATCATTTCTAGTTTTTTATTTAAAGTGAGAGATGTGTGTTGAACACTTAAAGGCCATGATAAAGTTATTAAATGGCTTAATTTCAGTCTTGTTGCATCTCATGGAATAGGGAGACCCACAGAGAGGGAGAGAAATGTGGGAACTGCTGCTTTATGGAGTAATCAGAACACACACATTTATTAAGTTCCCTGTCTTATAAGGGTGTGGTTCATGGTGCCTCAAAACAGTTACTACATTATTGACATCAAAGATCACTCATCTTAGGTCACTATAACAATAGTTATAACAATAATGAAAAAGGTTGAAACATTGCAAGAATTACTGAAATGTGAGACAGATGCAAAATGAAGAAATTCTTTTGGAAAAATGGCATCTGTAGATTTTTTTCAATTTGTAAAGACAGTATCTGTGAACCATGGTAAAGCAAAGCATTATAAAGGCATATGTATATTGAATTATCTTAATTGCTTTTTTTTTTTTTAATTGTAATTTAGGTTCTGGGGTACATGTGCAGGATTGTTGCATAGGTACATACATGGCACGGTGGTTTGCTGCCTTTATCCCCACTTCACCTATATCTGGTATTTCTTCCCTCATTATCCCTCCCCACCCCCGCTGTCCCTCTCCTACTCCCCCCACTGACCGCAGTGTGTGATGCTCCTCTCCCTGTGTCCATGTGTTCTAATTGTTCAACACCTGCCTATGCGTAATAACATACGGTGTTTGGTTTTCTGTTCTTGTGTCAGTTTGCTGAGAATGATGGTTTCCAGATTCATCCATGTCCCTATGAAGGACACGAACTCATCGTTTTTTATGGCTGCATAGTATTCCCTGGTGTATATGTGCCACATTTTCTTTATTCAGTCTATCGATGATGGACATTTGGGTTGGTTCCAGGTCTTTGCTATTGTAAACAGTGCCGCAGTGAACATACATGTGCATGTGTCTTTATAATAGAAAAATTTACAATTATTTGGATATATACCCAGTAATGGAATTGCTGGGTCACATGGTATTTCTATTTCTAGATCTTTGAGGAATTGCCACACTGTCTTCCACCATGGTTGAACTAATTTACACTCCCACCAACAGTGTAAAGTGTTCCTATTTCTCCACATCCTCTCCAGCATCTGTTGTCTCCAGATTTTTTAATGATCAC